GGAGCTCGGGTTCTCAGTAGGGAGCTCGGGTTCTTAATAGGGAGCTCGGACTCTTAATTGGGAGCTCGGACTCCCAGTAGGGAGCTCGGACTCTTGGTAGGGAGCTCGGGCTCCTAGTAGAGCGGTCTGGAGTTCAGGCTCGGTAGTGAGCTTGGACCTCGTTACTTTCGGTGCTCGTTTTGGGCGCTCCGCTGTCCCGAGTTGTTTGCTTTTGCCACGTGTCGGGTGATTGCGAGGTCGGCCAAATTTCCCTTCATCACCACCCAATATCATCTAGTTTTGGCATTTTAAATGTCTCAGTCTACATAAAGAAAATTAAAATATTATAAATTTATAATATAAGTTTTTTTATTAGTTATTAGTTTATTACAACAAAACGATCATATTGTATTAATTTTATGATCAAAATATTTCATTTTTTCCAAATTTATTATGTTTATACACATTTTTATTAAAATATCATTTTTAGATAAGCATCACCATTTCCAATAATTATTACAGTTTTTTAGATAAAATATTTCAATTTTCTAAATTTATTATGAATTTTGACATATCTATAAGGTTTTACTAAGGTTTTTAATTTTTATATGCTTATTATTGTGAATTTTAATAAGTTTATTATAAATTTAATTGTTTACTTATTTAAATAATATATTCATCCATTTTAATAAATATTAAATTTATATACTGATTTATAAATTATGATTTAATATAAAATTTAATAAAATTATTCTGATTTTTTATATTAAATTTAGAATAAATTACGATTTATTATAAAATTTAATAAACATTTTCTGGTTTTTAATAAATATCTTAAATATACTAAGTAGTTAATATTTTATTACTTGAAAAATATTTTATGTTTTATATTATAAAGTAATTAATTTATTTTTTTAATTTTTGTTAATTTTTTATAAATAGTAAGTATAAATTATTCATGGAAGAATTTGTGTTAAATATTAAATACAATATAATACAGTATATATTAATGGAATAATTTATATTAATTATTGTATTATATTATTATAATATAATATTATATTTTATTACTAAAATATATTTTAAATTTTTATACTGATTTATTATGAATTTTGGCATGTTACTTGTTTATGTGTAATTCTGATTTATTATAAATTTTGTTCAATAGTAACAATTAAATTAAAGGTGAAGTATTTAATACTTCTATTACTACAAATAAACATTTTATATGCATGCCTATTTTATATTCTAGTTTTCTTTTTGTTTTTATTTCTTTAATTTTTATGAACATTTTATTTTAAATATTAATTTTAGATATGTGTCAATATGAGTAATTTATATTAACATAAATATATATTATATAATATAAATAATATATTGTTTATGCATTTAAATAATATACTATTTTATTTTAATAAGTTTTAACTTATATACTGATTTATTATGCTTTTACAAACTTATCTGATTTTTTCTTATTGTTAATTCTGATTTATTATAAATATTAATATATTTATTTCACACTAGTAAATAAAAATACATTTATTCTAATGTTTTTAAATATTAAAGTTATAATACATTATGTTTTATTATAAATTTAATAATCTGATTCTCCTTTTTTTAATATTAAGACTCTAATAAATTCCGATTTTTTATAAAAATTAATGAATTTATTCTGTTTTTTAATACTAGATTTATAATAAATTATGATTTAGTGTAAAATTTAATAAATTTATTCTGTTTTTTTATATTAAACTTAGAATAAATTGTGATTTATTATAAAATTTAATAAACATTTTATGATTTTTAATAAATATTTACTCTTTTTTTGTTAATTTACTGATTTAATAAATAATGATTTTTTTGTTAATAAAATTTTCTGATTTAATAAACACTTAAATAATTTACTCTTTTTATGTTAATTATTTTTTATAAATATTTTTTGAAATATTAAATATAAATTATTAATGGAATAATTTATATTAAATATAATATAATATAGTATATGTTAAAGGAATAATTTATATTAATATATTGTATTATATTAATATAATATGCCAATATATTATATTATTAAATTAACAATACTAAATAATGTGTCTATTGTGATGATCTATTGTAGAGCATCTACCCAAATTAATGTGTCTATTGTGATGGTCTATGGACATTTCATAGACCATCACACATCATATTTAAAATTTTATACTTAACAGTTTAACAACAGTCAACACATAATCTATTCATTCGAAAGAGGGAAACCGTAAAGCTGAGAGCCTAAGAACGCTCTCAGGGAGCTCTGCTTCAACTTCAAAGTCTTCAACCTTCGGTCCTTCTGTCCTTCACAAATCGCATCTACGAAACCCAGAACTTGAAGATCAGCTTCAAGTTCCAGGCTTCTGGCGTAAGTTCAACCTCAAGTTTTTTTTCTTTTTTTTTTACTCCTAAAAAATCTGAGAAAGGGTATGCTCTTACGATCTTACCTGAGTTCAAGAATAGATGAGAGCCTGAGAAACCTGAGATGAAAAGTGGTTGATGCTCACTTGCTCGATTGCTCAAGATTCCAACTCCAACTGCAGCCTCCAAGTCTTCAAGACTCCAACTCCAACCGATTGCTGATGCAGCCTCCAGAAGACCAAAACCAAGCCTCGACTCCTCATTCCAGCCTCCAGGTAAGGGAACAAAAAACCCCTTCTTCTATGAAGTATGAAACCCTTCTTCCTCTTCTTCTTATAAGCTTAAAATATGTACGATGATTCTCTATGTCTATAACATGTTGTCCCCTTGTTCTTTATTTTTTTAAGCATGTATGTGATTCTCTGTGTATGAAATTATGTTTTGTATCATGCAGATGCTTTTTTTCTCTTTTTCTGTTAGATGTGAAACCATGTTCTTTTTCTTGTACATTAGTCGGCATGCCTGTCGACATATTAAGAAAGATGTTTTTTTTTTTGCTTTTTTGGACGAACTTGGTCAACATTTTTGAAATTTCGGAAATGTCGACCGAAATAATGTAATATTTATGTTACAATTCATTTTCATGTCGCTAAGCCTCGACACCGACATATGTCGGGCGACATTGGCGACATTTTGTGACATTTGAAATCATGGTCCTGACTAGCACCTTGATGCGCTACCTAGCCAAGAAGTAGTAGTACCCCTGCTGGTGATGCTTCAATTGAAGGAAGTAGGTAACCATCCCCAAGGTAAGCTCGACGTTGTGGATGAAACAATAGGACATGAGACCAACCAGGAACCTAAACGAGTTGGGCATCAACTGCACCGGCAGTACCCGGTACCTCTCAAACACCTCGACTACCCCCTCATGCAATGGGAACCACAGCCCAGACTCTAAACTCTTCTCATACACACAAAGCTCGCCCGTCCGAGCATCTGTGAGCCTCTCACCAGTCCTCGAACACCTGAGCTCATATTCCACAGGGATGCAATACAGAGTCTGGATCCGAGCCATATCCTTGGGATTCAGACAACACGGAGTGGTCCCAAATTGACGACCATCCCGCGGTGGAAGGGCAGTTTCCTCCCTGGTTGATGACTCGGCCTCAGCCCCCATTCAGTAACCTGCTCATGGTCAAATGCCTCAAAGTCTTCGGCCTCAGCCCCCTGTCCATCAACCTTAGGAACATCAAGCACGACAACCTCGGTGGAAGACCCCGGCTTAGACTCATAATTGGAAGAAGCGATGAAAGCAGAGGAAGATGAAGCAGAAGAAGAGGAAAAAGAATGAAAAGACGAGGAAGACATTCTGATTGCAACCTCGATTCAAGAACTACCTCAGATCGAGCAGCATCAAGGAACATGCTAGAGAAGTATTTATGGTAATGGGATTAGAAGAGGAGAGAATGAAAAGCTTTAGACTACATTGGAGAGTAGTCCTTTAGGCATTAAGTAGGTAGGTGAGAGATATCATAAGATGGTGGAAAAGGAAAGAGGTTGGGATTTTTTTGATTGGTTCATTAGTGGGTAGGTTGAAGTAGTATTGGTTTGGATTTTGCTAGCTATATTGTAGATAAGGAATGCAGGGTAAGGGTTAGTTTTGAGTTGGTGTAAAGTTAAATTTGTGCTAGATTTTTTAGGGTTATTTTGTGCATTTGTTTTTTGAATGGGTGTTATTGTCTTGTGATGGGAGTAGGTAATTGGTTGGGGAGAAGAGGTAGGCTTTAATTGAGATTTGGTTAGTTTTTTTGGCTTAATTTGTTGTAAGGTGTAAATGTTTCATTAGGGTTGTGGTACAGGGTGTCTTGGAGATGTCTTAGGAATGAAGTTATCCCTAGAATCAAGGAGTAGCTCCAATAGGTGATAATGAGAGAGTAGAGTAAGATGGTTAGGGCACTTGCATAGAGACCAAGGGCTAAAAGAACTTGAGGTATGACTAAAAAGGACATGAGTAATAATAGTAAGAAATATCTTAAACACTAATATTTTAACCGTGAATATTACTTTAAATAAAACAGATTGACAAAACAAGATTAATGTAGCCAACCCGTCTAGTTGTGATAAGGCATGGATGATGTTGGTGATGATTTAAATATGTGGGCCGGACTGAAATGATCAATTATAGCTAAGAGTTTGTTACACTATTTTAGGTACCTTATTTTGAGTCCACGGGATTTTTTTCTGGCCTTTGTTGCTGATTTCTTAATGGTAAAATAGGAGTTTGTACAAGAAAGATCTGATGTTTTACAACTGCTGTGGAAAGTAGGTTTACATTTTTGATATCTTAGATTGATGCCTGAAATTTACTATTAAGTAATAATCACCATCAACTGCCGGCCGTAACAACCTCCCCCATATTTCGTCTCTGCCGTTTAATGGTGATGGATCCTCCTGGTGATTTGAACTTTTAACCCAACCATCTATGGCCTCACCGCAACAATAGTACTCTAGTGGTTAGTTATTGGTGTTGTTATAGAGCGGTTCCCGAGAGATCATCAACATCAACATGTATAAAAAGAAGACAGTACCAACGCACAAGGCAAGGAGCGGAGGAAGACCGAGAGACGAGGATGGCACCTGCAAAGTTGGCAGTCGTTTTCCTCGCCACTCTGGCCATTCTCTCTCTCCTTCCTGCTCAGGGTTCCTCAGGTTCGCTGGTGGTTCGTAACCCAGTCCTAACCCACCACAACGGCCCTCTCCTCAAGGGGAACTTGAGCCTTGCCATCTTGTGGTATGGCAATTTCGGTCGCAGCCATAAATCGGTCATCCGGAAATTTATCCGTTCACTTAACAATGACGGTACCGGGTTACAGCCAAGGGTCTCGACATGGTGGAGGATGGTGGAGAGTTATCAAGGCGCAGTATTGGCCGGCCGCAGACGTGCAAGCCCTCCTCCAATTCGCGTTCGCGTCGCAAAGCAAACATCTGACAAGACATATTCCAGTGGAAATATCTTAACTCAGGACATCATACCCGGTCTTGTGAAGCAAGCGACGGGTGGGTCACGGTCGTTGATCGCTGCCATCTTCACGGCCAAGGATGTGTCGGTCCAGGGCTTGTGCACAGGCAAATGCTCACTGCATGGGGTTGTGACAACCGGGCAATCCCAACAATTGTATATGGTGGTCGGGAATCCAGTGCTAGAGTGCCCATATGATTGCGCCTGGCCGTTCCATAAACCTAAGAAAGGGGCAGTGAAATCTAAGGTATTGAAGCCACCAAGCGGCAAGGTAGGTGCCGATGCAATGGTCGTCAGTTTGGCTTCAGCCTTGGCAGGGATGGTCACTAATCCATACAATACTGGGTTCTTCCAAGGCCACGGAAGGAATCAGATCGAGGCGGTGACAGCCTGCTCAAAGGTGTTCGGTACAGGCGCGCATCCGGGTTACACTGGGAAGGTAGCCATTGATGGGGCTACGGGTAGAGCCTTCAACGCACATGGCTGGCGTGCCAAGTTCTTGCTTCCGGGACTATGGAACCCAAAGACCTCCTCATGCTGGACACTCATGTAACTCTGCTCTCTCCAAACTTAACCATGTAGAGTAGAGACTTCCTTTTGTAACAGCTGCTGGTTTGTTGTGAACTAAGCACGTCTACGATGACCGGTCGTTATTCACGCTATATTTAATGGGCCGGAAAAAAAAAAACCTTCAAAATTAATTAATTTTTTCCTGGGTTACGACAAACCTAATCCCTGATTCTCTCCATTTGCTCTTCCCCTTCACGAGAAACATGGCTGTGTTTGGTTTGAAGGAAAACGTAGGGAAGCCTATGTAATCCCCACCTTTTTCCTTCAAACCAAACACAACGCTCCGTACCTTTTATTATGCTAAATTCTGCAATATGATTTTCTTCTTTTTTTTTTTATCATTTTGACGTATTCTAACAATGAGGATCCACACACCAGTGATAAATTCACGGCCCCATGTATTTTATGAACCTTTTCATTGGATGCACAGCCCGTTTAACAGTGGAAGCGTTCAGCTAAAACTTACTCAATTATCCCATTTTTGTGGGGTTTAGAAGATATGGCTGATATCATCAAGGTCTCTATAGCTAAAAGATTTTTTTTTTTGCAGCTTATTTTATAGCTTGCAACTTTTTTTAAATTGTTTTTTTAGGATTAAAAGATATAGCTTCATCGTGAACATGGAATAGAAGAAAAGACACAGATTAAATTGTTGTTCGTTGTAGTCGACCGCCTATGCGGCCAAGAAAATTGGTTTCTAGAGAGAGCTGACCGGCCATGGCACCAGACAACAAGAAATGGGGATGGGGTTACTGTAATAGCCATCTTCCGGCGTTACTGTGCCCGCTGGACTGGAGAACGGAGGTGGGTTTTATAGCTCAGAGAAAGAGGGTGTGGTGGTCGAAATAAAAGATTTGGGGCCTTGAAAACTTTTCTTGTCTCAATGAAGGGGAAGAGAAGCAAATGGAGTGGGGGTTAGCTTTGGCAGAAATGTTTGTGTTTGGCAGGAAATTCTCATGCTTGGGGGAATGGGATTCCCATTTGATAGCAAGTTAAAAATAGAGAATTCATGATGAAAAAAAAACCCAAACCCTAATATTAATAAAATGATAAAATATTATTAGATTAATAATAAGATAATAATAAAAATAAATAATAATATATTAGTAATAAATTATTAATAAAAATAGTAATACTAAGATATTAATAAAATATTCATAAATAATGATAAATACTAAGATATTAATTATTAAATACTAATAAAATAATAATTATATATTCATAAAATACTAATAAAGTAATAATAAATTAATTAATACAAAATTGAAAATTTTCAGTTGATCCTAATCTAAACTCCAAATGAGTCAAATAGGAATCCTAATCTAAACAGGTGTTAGGGATAAGTGATTCCGATTCTTGGTGATTCCACTTAAGAATCTGATTATGATCTTATTTGCAAGCCAGACAGATCCTTAATTAATTTGAATTTTTATTCAAAGTCCAGCCCGTTAAGTATAGCATTAACGTTATGTTTAAATTATTTATTTTTTACGCCAGTTAAGTTTAAATTTATTAACTTTGAGTGGGATGTTTAACTTGTATTGGTCCTATACTCCTATTGCAGGTCTCCGAACGATATGTGCGAAATCATTGGTTGTTGAGAGACATATGCAGTAATAGCGACATGGAGATGCACATAGGCATAGGTTTCACACAAGGTTGCAATATTCCTTGCGAGACATGGACTAACCCACAAAAATAAAGGCTAATACACAAAGAAAAAACCTGAAAATTTACTTAAATCAAAGGCTTATCAAAACATAAAGAACTACATCTCAAAAACCTTAGAGAACTATAAGAGAAAAAAACATAATTGACAGCACTTAGCCAAAAGGAGACAATAAGGGGAATGAGTGAATCTACTATCCCAATCCCTAGTAAAAAACCGTTGAATCAGTCAATCATTTATTGACTTAGGCGGTGAAATCATCGACCTGTTAACCTATTCAATGGTTTTTGTCTTTTTTATATTTTTAATTATAAACCGTCTAGGCAATTGGTTCAATTTTATCCCAATCCCGGTCCCTGGCCAAAAACCGTTGAATAAGTCAACAACCCATTTACCCAGGCGGTCAAACTGTTGACCCGTTCAATGGCTTTTCGGTCATTCGAACCGAACAGTCAAACCGTCAACCCAAAAAACCGGTGGCTAGAACAATTCCATTTTCGGGTCATATGAGTCACACGCTCAATGACATAACAGGTATTATACCACTTAAGACCTCGCACTCTATTTTTTACCTGCAATTTTTGTTGTCAGAATGAGCCGTCCATTCGAATTGGATGGTCTGAAAACCAGTGGCCAGAATGACAGAATGGTTCTGTAATTTTTTGCTTATAATTTTTATTGTCATAATGGGTATCCATTCAAACTGGATGGTTGAACTGTCGACATGAAAACCAATGGTATAATATATATATATATATATATATAAGGGAAATAATGATATTTGGCGAAAGGGGAGACCACCCCTTTCCCTTTTAATAGATATATATATATAAGATATATAAGATGCCGATGGACATCAACCATCGGCCAATTATCGGTAAAAATCTATATCACAGTTTATGACCATTGTCATAGAACTACTTTGAAAAATGAAACTGAGCAATTTAAGGCATGATTATGTGATACTTTATTATATTTTATGACTCTCTTAATATGTTATCTTTATTGAATATAGTCTTATCAATTTAATGAAATTGTCAAATATTTTGTACTTCTTCATGTTATTAATTTATTTATTTTTTATTTTATAATTTTCAAATTCCATTTCTATTTGAAAGTTTTAAGCTATTTTCTTTAAGGTTTGATGATGGAGCTACATCATGGGAATGGAGATCTCTGGGTGGAACGGGAGTGTTTTCCGACCCATGACTCTATACAAGGGAAACATCAACCAACAATATCTTTCCAACATTCTTGTATTTTTAGGTAGATTTTTTTTAAAGAAAATATAGCTATAAAGATATTTCATAATCTAGAATATTCTATAATGAATGTTGGTTAAGTACGTATGCCTAATTTTTTATGAAAAGCAAATCCTCTTTCAAGAGTTTATGTGTGTTAAGCAAAGATTTTACCATTACACCAAGGTTTATGGCATTATAAATATAAGAAGCCAAAATGTTCCCAATCCAACTATAAATGTACAAGGTGCATTGCATTGAAATTTGAATTTTTGTAAGTATCTTGTCTATATTTGTTCATTTGTTTATTGAGATACGATCTATATTTTTTCATTTGTTTATTGAAATTTGATGTAACCATTTCTGGTCACGTATCAATTTTTTCATGATGTATCAAATTTTTTAGCTAAGTGCCTCGCCAGTGACGTATGCTCCCAAGTGGCCTATGACTCAGAGGCTGAAGTGGAGCTCCCTAGTGGCGAGTTGTCAGGTGGCGAGCTACCTAGTGGCGAACTACCTTGATGAGTTGTTTGGTGGTGAGCTATCTGGTGGTGAGCTGCCTTGTGCCGAGCTACCTTGATGAGGTACCGGGCTGACCAGGTGCCTAGTGTCGAGCTACCTTGATGAGGTACCGGGCTAACTAGGTGCCTAGTGCCGAGCTACCTTGATGAGGTGTCGGGCTGACCAGGTGCCCAGCTGCTTGGGAGGTGCTGAGCTGACCAGGTGTCGAGCTTCCTGGTGACGAGCTAGATTGACGAGCTTCCTTTCTCTTTAGAGACATGCAAGGAACCAAATGTCAGAGGACCCGGGGTGGCTAACCCGACGAGGTCGCTCCAATGCTTAAGTCAGTACTCTCATAGTAGATTGGGAGCTAAAAAATCATAAAGTATGAAAGTTAGGATATGCCTACTTGCTTACTTGCTCACTTGCCCCTTGCCATTGGGGTTGGTGCCTTTATATAGGCATTATTTGGCGTGGGCTTCATGCACCACATCCGAGATTTCTACAAGGTCGTCTAAGTGGTTTGAGATTCCTAGAGGTAACTGCCATGCACGTTGACCACCCTTTGGATCATTCGGCACGTGGGCCAACTTCCAAGGATCATGGGAGTGTTAGGATATGCATGCTTAATTTGTCAGTGAGCATGTCTTGCAGGTCACTAGGTCGGTGTCTGTGCCAGGCCACCAGGTCACGCATGAGCCAGGCTGCCAGCTCGTGCTAGGGCTAGGTCGTGCCAGGGCCAGGTTGTGCCAGGGCCAAGCCGCCAGGTTGGGCCTGTGCCAGGCTGCAAGCTCGCGCCAGAGCCAGGCTGCCAGGTCGCGCTAGTGCCAGGGCCAGGTCGCACTAGGACCAGGCTGCGCCTAGGCCAAGCCGCGCATGTGCCAAGCCGCCAGGTGGGACACCACCAACTTGGATAAGGCAAGTTGTTGCCAAAGTGGTTCTGGGTGTCACCTAGTTGTTCTGAGGTGCCATGTGTCACAATATCATTGGAGGGCCAAATCCGCCCTCATCATTTGCCCCCACTCCCGAGCCGAAAGTAACTCGACGAAGGGAGTAGATTTCTCCTTTTGGCCCAAAATGAATAATTCGATGAGCTCATAAGCGTCGATTCTATTCCTTAGGCTCTGGGAGCGACTCGCAGTCCACTCCTTGATTTTGCCCATGCCGAAGAGGCGACTGGGTCTTATGTGGTATTTTAGCCCTTAGGCTCTGGGAGCGACTCGTAGTCCACTCTCCTTGATCTTTGATTTTGCCCATGTCAAAGAGGCGACTGGGTCTTATGTGATGAGGAAGCCTTTTATCAGTTCGTCAGTTCGCGCCTGGGCCAGGCCGCTAGGTTGGCGCCAATGCCATGTCGTGCCAGGTCGGCGCAGGTACCAGGCTGCCAAGCTGCCAGTCCGTGCGCAGGCCATGCCTGCCCGCCAGGTGGGCGCCTTAGAGCTATGATTGCGCTGCATCAGCCTCGTAATGCCAGTCACCCACCCCTACAAGAAGCTACTAGGAGCTCGACCTTCGGGGGCAGCACTACTAACTTTAGGTTGCCAGCTCACACGGGAGCCTTGGAAGTCTCGA